TACGCTAAGTCCGTACGACTATAGAGAACATACGATCACATAGTACTCGCAGCGCACTTCCCTTTGCTCTCCTAACTCTCCGCAGAACACACCAATACAACACCAACAACTTGCCAACAACCCAGAATCAGCCTCTTTAGGGGTTATGGGGAGTGCTAATAGCAGACCTATTGTACCCCAGAACACTCACTCCTGCTACCAACCATCCTTGCAACCAACAGACTTCCCTGTCGCACAGGTGAAGTATCCATGGTCACAAGCCCAATTGTCCTCTTGTCAAACCGAATTGCGACGCGACGCGACATAAACACTTCTGCGCAGCGCTGCTCTAATAAAGCAGCACTGCGAAGAATGCTTACGTCACCTCTCTCATGCCTCGCCTGGCCCAATGCGCCAACCAACTTCCCTCACACAACAGTACCTCAAGAGCACCTTGACCCCTCACGCCCCGAATGACTCGAGCACTTGCATCGAAACCTACCACCCCTAGCATTCCCACGCCTAAGTCCTACGCGTGCTCCTATGCAGCACAACCTTACATTGTCCTTACCTTCTTCGCCTTCACGGACAAAAACCGATGGATCCTCCTCTTCTCCTGTTTCTGATGCCTTCAATTTGCCTTAATTGGGTCTGTAAACACGCACGACAGCAAATAAATTGAGTAAGCAACAGCATTAGCAACAATGGATTATGTGTAATGCTGGGACGGCGTCACCATCTTGTACAAATGTACCATCAGACCACCGGACGAGCACAGCGTACCACTTACGTGGTTGCAGCCATGGATAACGAAGTATACTTCATTGATATTATTCATGCAAAGTATATTTATTCACAAAATTAAATTAAAGAAGGAATGGAGGAACTAATGACAACTGCATACACATTCACCAAAGCACAACGTCTTGACCACCATGGAAATAAGCAACAGCATTAGCAACAAGGGATTATGTGTAATGCTGGGACGGCGTCACAATCTTGTACAAATGTGCCATCAGACCACCGGACGAGCACAGCGTACCACTTACGTGGTTGCTGCCATGGATAACGAAGTATGCTTCATTGATATTATTCATGCAAAGTATAATTATTCACAAAATTTAATTAAAGGAGGAATTGAGGAACTAATGACAACTGCATACACATGCACCAAAGCACAACGGCTTGACCACCATGGTGCCTTAATTGGGTCTGTAAACACACACGACAGCAAATAAATTAAATAAGCAACAGCATTAGCAACAAGGGATTATGTGTAATGCTGGGACGGCGTCACAATCTTGTACAAATGTGCCATCAGACCACCGGACGAGCACAGCGTACCACTTACGTGGTTGCTGCCATGGATAACGAAGTATGCTTCATTGATATTATTCATGCAAAGTATAATTATTCACAAAATTTAATTAAAGGAGGAATTGAGGAACTAATGACAACTGCATACACATGCACCAAAGCACAACGGCTTGACCACCATGGCAAAACGTGTTCAACGAGTAGAGAGAATAATGATCCCCATTGCTGACTAAGAAGAGAAATGTTCAACAAAAGGCATTATATAAACAGTAGCATCTCCGCTGCAAAGCAAAGCGTGTTTTGTAACAACTCCAGCAGCTGGGGCTGATGATGGTCGAGTCATTGCTTCCACTAGATCTTCTTGAACCCCGCATTTAGAGATACAGGCATACCTTCCCAAACAGTGCAAGCCTGTAAGTCTTACTCTCTTAACAGACGGTAAGACTGGCAAGACTTACAGGCTTGCACTGTTTGGGAAGGTATGCTATGTATGCTATGCTTTTTTGTTCTGGATGTATGCAGAGACTCCTGGTTTCGACTGGTTTGGATCGGCCACAATACAAAGGCACGCAAGGCACCAAGCAAATCTCGGCTAGGGCTCACATCACAGATGTGACTCTGCTTTGAACTAATGGACCTCCATGCAGCCCAACTCGAATGCAGGCCTAACGGGTGCCAGATAGTTGCCTGGTGTTGTCAGGAATCTCTTGAGGAAGCGACCTGCTTCCGTGTATAGCAGCAATTGCATGATATGACAAGACACTGGTTGTCACGTCGCTAGCGAGTTGTGCCCCAAAAGCACCTACGATTGTGATTGTCATGTACGCGCTCCTTTCGGTAACAACTGGTGCAGTGATTAGCTGCACTGGACTGGCGAACCCCTGTTGCAAGCCTCCCACGAGGAATAGGCCTTAGGTAGTTCGGTAGCATCTCTTCATCGTTAGGCAGCATATCGGAAGATGCTACTTTCCGCGCCTTCTTCCCGGGAGACCTACAGTTCCTGTGCCGTACAATCTCGTCCAAGCTCCCCAAAACTGCGTTGCGCAATCGCCGTGACCAGCAAAGCTTCAGCCCATGGGTATGCTCACGGTCTCCTTATATCGCTCTTATATCGCTCGGGAGAGTTACGCAGACGCTCGATAGTAGCATAACGTCTAATGAACAAAAGGCTTACTCAGGCAGTCTTGCACCTGATATCACCGAAGAGGTGCTAAACTGGCAAGCACCATGCGGGGAAGACTAGAAATTTAAGATAAATGCGTTTATTGCGAACAACCGCAAGTATATTGAAGAGATACCATTTTCAGGCCCTCAGAGAAGCGTGCGGAAGCGCCAATCTGACGAATGAACTGCATCCCGACGTGTAAGTAGACCGAAGTAGTAGACTGACCTTAAAGACATATAACTGCCCTCTGCGCCTGTTGTAGGCTTGACAAGAAAACGCAGAGGGGTCGGGCTGCTGCTGTTCCTGCCAACGCTGTTTTGAGGACAGCAATTGCCTCAGCAGACGCGACTAAGTCAAAAGACATCAATACATAGTACGGAAAGTCGCGACGTGTTGCATGCGCCTATCGGTGCGCCTGGCGGCAGGCAACTGCTTACATATGTGGCTAGCTAGCTTAACTGAAGTCAACTAGCATAGCGCATTCACCCAGCAGGCAGCCGATCTAGCCAGGTCAGCTAGTCTACCAGTGCCGATGACTCCTGTCGATCAGCGGCAAGCGCTGCTTCCTCTGAATCCTTTACCTTGGACTCGACAAGCTTCCTCAGTGCCGAATGGCTGAAAAACAAAAGGCCGCACGAAGCGCATGTGAGCATCTGAGGCACTGGGGCGGCACGAGACTTATCTCTTCCCCTGAGGCAGCATAAACGCTAAAACACTGTCCTCTACTACTTGCTCGACTTCCGGAGGAATGGGGTTGTGCGAGTTACTCGGCTGCGGGGTCGAGGCTGACGACGTTCGCGCGGAGTTGAATGCTGCGTGGACAGCACAAAGATGCGGAACTCATGTAGAGTCATATATGGAGATCAGAAGGAGCGAGTGACCGATATCCCTAACCAATACAAGAAGGGACGCGGGCTCACGAGGTGGGACAAAGGCCTTCCAGGTACAGAACAGCTCTCTCCACGGCGGCCACAGGCAATGGCGTCCGCAGCTTAGAAACAAACAGGTCAGTTAACACCCGCACGTCGATCCGCTGCAGCACACAGCCAGTTCCAAACCCTCGAAGGTCTGTCCCGTTGCAACTATGTGGAACCTCAAGGGGAACTAGTTGCAACTTCTTAGTTATCTCGGCTGCAGCACTGTCACAAACTACCAATAGCCCCTCAGGTGCCTAGCTTGGGCTCCTCAGCTAGCCAACTGCGATCAAGGGTCGAAATAAATACACGAAAATGTTTGCAGCTTGGTGCCAACTGGGAAGCGGAGGCGCAGTAGACGCACAGAGCGGCGGTCATGGTAGACACATGCGTCGAGTAGACACTGTAGCACGGTTTGCGCCTCTTTTGTTTGCTCTACTCTCCTGAGGAAACAAAGAAAATACGGGCACTGCCGATTTGCCGGTGTTACCTCCCGTGAAATTTACAGAAAAGCAGCAACAGCAGTGGCAGCAGAAGCCGCGACACAGCCAACAACCTACTCATAAAGTTCCCTCCGAATTCGCTGCGCTGCTTCTCTCTGCAGACGAGCGGCCATCCGTTCCTCCGTCTGCATCCATAAAGAATAGAACAACAGAAAAAACACTCAGATGCCCAAGGATTTACTGCGCTTCTGTCGATGCTAATAGAGTTGTTCCTGCGGCAATGATTGCAGCCACCCATACTTTGCGACGCAGCCGTTCGGAGACCGGACTCCTGCAGTAATCCAGACAGCCACGCAAACAAGAAATACGGTATGGTATGGGTCTCCCTATTCAGCTTGTGCCAGGTCTCTCCCGTACCTGCACAGGGTTCTAGCATGTTCCTGCTGGAACCGGAACAACCGTTGTGCACCCCCCGACTAAAACCGGTAGACGACTGCAAGTCAACTGTGTGTGTGCCTCTCTATGCAATTGGCGACCACGGGGGCCAGATGACTGTCCAGCTCGTGAGCTAGTTAACTAGATGCCCTGCCAGGTAGCTAACTACCTGGTGGGGCTGGTGCTGTTCGAGGTCGAGCGCCTTTCCACCGGAGGACTCGGGCTGCGGCTCCCAACAAGTGAAGACATGAGAGAAAACCGCCTCATAGGCTGCCGGGAGCGGCACAGAGGAGACGATAATAGTGTAGGAGACGTCGATGGCTCCAAGGGAATGGTTGCTGGAGACGTAGTGGGCTCCGATGTGCATGTGCTGACTGAAGAGACGCCGCCGATACAGTCCCCTGCAACAGCAGCAGGCGTTGAGCAGCTGCTGCCTCCCTTCGCCACCACCTGCTGGCTCTGCCGCTCATGTTGCGCCTGCTGCTGCTGCAGGTGCCTCACACACCGAATAGGACTTCCACCTATGTGGCCAATTAGTGAGTCGCCCTTGAAAGCTGCTGGTGGTTGCTGCGGTTGCAGCCCGTGCTGCTGCAGTTGCAGCTCGGGAGGCGCAGCGGCGGGAGGAGATGGTACGGTTTCCACCTTAAAACCAGTCACCCAGCTACCGTGCTGCATCATAAGCTGCCTGCTGCGTCGCAGAAGCGGTACTTGTTGCTTCTGTTGATGCTGCTGTTGCTGCAGCTGCAGGCAGAAATTCTGCCACTGCAGCGTATATGAAATGAGACGCCGCCGAAGCTGCTGCTGCCGCTGCTCCCCATCGTTCGCGCGTGAGGCCAATGGAACCCCGTCCTTCAGCTCCAAGATCTGTATGTCATACTGCTGCTGCTGCTGCTGACGCCGCAGCGGGCTCAAGGTCGCTGCTGTTGCTGTTGCTGCTCCGCTTTGCGCAGTGCGGCACAGTCTCCGCGCTTTCCATTGGAGCAGCTGAGGGAGCAGCCAAACCAGCCTCCCAACATCTTTAATCAAATCATTTCTTATTTTGCTGCTGCCACTGATGCAGGTTGCTTCGCCGCTGTTGTGGATGCTGCTGTTGCTGCTGCTTTCGGTGTAATTTGTGGGCTCTGAGGCGCTGCGGGGATGATGGGTAAGGGCTAGCTTCGTGTAAGCCGGTAGAATACTCGAAAACAGCAACAGAGGCTCTCCGCGGTCGTGAAGGCGGTCAAAGAGGATCCGTAGCCTGCAGTAGCAACAGTAGGACATAGGAGAGAGTATCATGTAGCAGTCAGCAAAGGCTGAAGCACCAGCAGCAGCACACCTCGCAGCAAGTCACGGCAGGCCATCGGAGGCTGCTCTCCAGGCCGCGTACACCCAAGTGGGTCAGCAGCAGCGGGAGCAGCAGCAACATCGAAGGTCGCTCACAGCCCGTACAGACGGCAGAGGCGTTCGAGCTGCCTGTTCAGCCTGACAGCAGAAATGGGGGCTTCCTCTGCAGCGCATGTGTCTAGAGAGCTGCAGCAAAATGTCTCGCTGCGCTGCTGCTGCTCCGAAAACACCTGCTGCATCGAAGCGATCTCTTGTGGTGTTAGGCAAAGCTCGCAGCATGCCGCAGTTTGGTGCTGTTGCTCTTGCTGGTTCTCTTGCTGCTCCTGCACCGTCCGTTTGTGGGCATCACTGTGTCCTGTATCAAAGGAAAACTGAGGCTTCTTCCTCGGGGGGGTAAGGCGAAAGGGGGACAGTGCTTCCTCTTCAAATTCCACTGCCCCTCTGCTACTGCTGCTGCCTTTATGATAGGGGGAGGCGCGCCTTCTGCTGCTGACAGGAGAGACCTTTTGGTCAATGAATACATCAGGGGCCCTTGCAAAGTCCCCCCCAACAGCAGCAGCAGGAGCTCGCCGCGTTGGCGAGGGGGTGCCCGCTGCTATGGCAACTGCGTCGTTTGCAGCAGTAGCAGCAGCAGATGGAGGAGCCCTGCGGCGTCGGCTGGTACTGAATGGAGAGGCAGGATCGTTAAGAAAAGAAGGCCGCTGATGCAGGCGTCTATTTGCTGCACCATCACCTCCCTCGGGGCTGCCAGGAGCAGCCGCTGCCGCAGCTGCAGCTGCAGCTGCAGTGGTAAGCAAAGACCGAGCATCGAGAGCTAAAGAAGCCGCAGCTCCGCCCCTTGCTTGAGACGACCTTTGGAAATGCGGTGTTTCGTCATGCAAGGAGCACTGAGCCTGAGAAGCCACTGTCGGAAGAGGCGGTCCTCCTGAACCAGTAGCAACAGCTACGCACCCGGAGGCACCAGAAGGGAAAAGCGGCAACTCCGGTGTTGTATGTGCTGTCCCGCCGCTTGTAATAGGGAAGTGCAGACGCACAGGGGATTGCAGCATTTTGCTGTTCGAGGCCAGGTCAGCTCCCGTTGCTTCCGCTGCTGATACTCCAGCTGCAGGAGCACGAGGAGCGTCCGCGGGAGAAGCCCTGTTCTCATCATCCACAGAAGTCTGCAGCCGCCGCTTCAGCGGAGATGACAAAGGGCTCCTTGTGCGAAGAAGGCTGCTGCCAGTGTTTGCTGCTGGTGCTTCTGCTGTTGCTGCTGACATAGAAGGCCAAAGAAAGTCCCCAGAGAGGCCCTCCAAACGGCGCGCCTTTATCTTAGGCGGGGAGCAGCAGGGGCCCCCCACATCTTCAGCAGGGGATTCTCCATGTATAGAAGGCAGTCTGCGCTTAGCTGTTTCCCTCCAAGCAGGCTGCAGCGGCAGTGCCATGGCTGCTGCTGCCGCTGCTGGTCTTGTGTTCGTGCTGCTGCTGCTGCTGATGCCTTGTCGGGCTCAATTTTAGACACTCTACAGCTTCTAGGAAGAGAGAGCATGTGACTAGTTTAGGGGAAGTCTACCAGCTAGGACAACAATGCAACAAGCCAAGGGGGTGGGTGGGAGGTGTTGTTTCCTCCCGCTCGCAGTTCGGCTCTCTTGCCCGGGCTTGAGTATACAACAACCTACGACAAAGAATAGCCCTGCAGTTTAAATGAAAAATAAGTAAATCAAAGCGACCGACACATGCAATAGTTAAATCTATGGACACCCTAATCGGCCACAACCCCAGCCCACCGCCGCCCCCCAGCTGCGATGCATGCGATGAGAACAACGTTGCCCGCTAGAGTTCTAAAAAGAAGCTGGAGATAATGATCTGTGTAGAAGGATACGTTAATACGACTGAGACCTGCACAAATGTTTCTAGACACCTGGCTCAACACCGCACTATTGACCTTCCTCTTGGGACCACATCCTGTAGTGCACAGGCACTACTGCAATGCGTCTCAGGTGTGCGCTCCAGTAGCCTAAGGACAGGAGCGGACATTAATACTATAAGATATTTAGGGAATTAGCACCTTCTTAGTCAAGAGAGGAATTAATGCTACTAATTATCCCAGGGATTAGGGAATCGTTAGACAGGCATATCTTAATGAGCTAGCCGACAGCGTCAGCCTGAGCGACGCAGTTCTTAGACCCTAAGAAGGCTCCCTGGTTTGATGTCTAGAGACTTAAGGAAAATGGAAAAGAAATTATTATTATTAAACATAGCTATGTTATGAGCACTACTTCACAGGGAAGTCACGTAATAAGGGGACTATAAGTGGGCCGGGACAGCCGCTCAGGCTGAACCTACAGCACTCTGCTTAGGCACCACGCTTTTATGGCTTGCTGGGCGCCGTGCTTAGGCGAGGGCCTGCCCTCGCCCCGCATCTTGAAGGCGAGTGTCGGATCGGCTTTCTGAAAGACCAGACCTATCTACCCAGGTGGACTGGCCTGGATGTAAGCAGAGACGAGATCATGTTCTGGGAATTTAATTTTGAATAGAGGGAACATGAGTGAACAGATTAAGAAGATTAGCCACCTGTAGTCGTGGGGTGTAATAGGTAGGCAGAGCGTGGGGACCACTGCGCACTACACAGCCGCAGTCAGTTATGAAGGGTCGTTGCAACCGCTCAAGACAGAAACGTACGAACTGGGTCTCGCAGAGCAGAGCAGGAGTGATATCTCTTTATAGATAGTTGCATTTTGTCGATGCCCGGAAATCGGCCCCGTGCACAAATGGGCCAATGGGGAAGAGCAAAACTCACTTCGTCAAGGTGAGAATGCCCTATCTATCATCTGTTCCAGTGGCAAATTCCGCTCAGATACATAATGCAGCCATCCAGCAGTTCGAATGGCTCAGGACGATGATGACGCTGTGCAAGTATCCAGCTTTATACAGCATTAATGCTTGTAATAACACGAGGGATTGTTTGAAGGAAAAAACGGCAATTCACCAACTACGGACCATACATACTTTCACTAATGTAGTAGCTGTGAGTCTCTGCTGCCGGTTTTACTGTTCCTTCTGCGGTTCCCGCCGGGCTCGAGTGTATCTTCGCGAGAGGTGCCAGCATGTGTTCCTTTCATAATTCGGGCGCCCGTCATCAACAACCGCCGCGAAAGGAACACACGCACAGCCTTTCCCACCCTGCCTAAGAAAACGCACTTTGTGCAACAGGGCAGGAAGGATCTGTGACTGTGTATTGGAACATGAAGCCTTCAGCAATTTCCACAAATGAGTACGCTTGCCACATCCTAATCGGCAGCCATTGAGCAGACGGCTCCTAGCGTAGAGCGTCAGTGCCTATTGTTTTGATGCCAAAAATAAGCAATCGATGAGGAATAAGCGCATTGTGTTTACCCCCGCAGCCCGCAAAGCCTGGTGAGGCAGTTGGCCCCTATCGAAAAGACCGAAACATAGTCTTGGAATGCAGAAAAAAAACCAAACTCAATCGAAGCTGGACTTGCTTTGCTCCTACCCAACTACGTCTAAGCATCGAATAAGTTGCTTTCCCTCTATTGCAAAATACGTCAAGGGCGATTCACCTGTAGTCTGTCTACAACAGCTTTGGCATTCACGTGAGCAGACTAGCTGCTTCGCTTGTTGTTGAGATCAGCATAACCTCCAAAACTCTAAATGTGTTGCCTACGTATACTCCTCAGTGTTCACTAAAACGCCTCCGCGATGTCTGCGCGAAATCCCTTTCTAGCGCTGTCTCTGAACAAGTGCAGAGCAACCTTTGACCTACAATGGTAACAGCGCTCGCGTCAGCTGCAGGGGGAGTTGCAGCTAACTCATATTCTGCTATGTATTCACTTCCCTTCACTGGTCTTGTGCAGGCCTTTCTGCACTTGCTCAAGAATACAGGCGCAAGAAGACTGCACAAGACAGGAGACAGCCCTAAGCTGTACCCAGTACTAGATACTAACTTTTGTTCACTGACCACGTTCTTTGGTCCACGCGCACGCAGGCTTTCCAGGGACGCCGTTTATCTGTTGGTGCGCCTACATTATTGCGTTTGTGCCCCGGCTTAGAAGGCAAAACCTCACTGCCTAGCTCCATACGACCGCAGCAGGATTTAGGTACCTGATTTTTGAAAGACCTTAACCCCTGATACATCTCATTCTTTAAGCCACTCTACCGTAGCAGTCAGTCCCTCACGGAAGGTTGTTCGGCCTTCTGTACTTGCAACTCGTATTCCCTGTGCAGTCGTAGGGTGCACGTCTTTGCCAATAACTATTGCTGCACCGTACGTTGCTGTACAATTGCCTGCTTCTGCGACAGGAGAACGAAACGCAGAGCCGTGTTTTTCACGCTCTCAATGCACCAAGCCCCTCACCTATTCCAGGAAAGCAATTCGGTGAAAAGAGATAATATCTAGTGTGGTTGGAAGCGAGAATGCCTACGCCTGACTCATCAAACGAAATGGAAATGCGGTATTTTGGCAAACCACTTTCTGGTTGGGAAGCTCAGCGCACCTTTGTTCTTCGTTTGACTATCGTCTGTGTACATATATAATATACTTACAGGAAGTATATTCTGGCCCCAATAAAATAAATGCGTCCTAGGCTTCCTTCCGCAGTAGCAGAAGCTTTTCTAGTGCTAAGGGCGTGCGATGACGCCATAGCACGACACGAACTTTCTGACAAGAAAACCAGTTCATTTTTCACAAAGGCCACCGTCCAAGCCCCATGGAACTGCCTGTACAGTACAAAATCATAGATGCATGCGCACGTACGTAAGCTTGAAACATTTATGTGGTCCAGGTTAGGAGGCCTTCGCGAAAAGCCAAAGCCATCGTCTCAGAGTTAAAGGTGGCTTTTAGTAGGACAGAGGCAGGCAGCCAAACAGTTGTCCTTTTTCCTATTGTGAAAGCGTGCGTACAATGAGGATATATTTGTCTAGTATCTGGCTGCTGCGTTGATGCAGACGTATAGACGCAAGTGTTCCCAACCGGCAAGTCACACTGCGCCAATTTCCAACTCTGATCAAATTCAACCAACTACGAACCACCTGTTCGATAGAAGAGAAGCAAAACAAGGGCCCAGCAACCGCTGCTGCTTTAGACAGATTTTGATTGTGGTTTGGTGACTTGTAAACTCGCGGCAAACAGTGTCTCCGTGTAGGCTAGGGATGCCGGATAGCAACGACTGGAAGACGCCACTGTTCTGTTATGGACCCATCCCTCACACGGGTGGACTTCAAGCCACTTTGACCTTTGGGGTCACAGTCTCAAATACTGAAACAAGCTACCCTGCCTACGTGTAACTCCAGTGCAGCAGTAAATATAACCTCCTGGGCAGCATGCGATGGCCTACTAATGACGAGGCCAATGCCCGACCCAGGGCTACGACGATACGCCATCCTAGAAAGAAATCGGGGTTCTTTAAAACGACTGGAAAGTGAATAATGACTGAAGTGGGATTCGAACCCACGCCCGCGAGGACTGCGGCCTGAACGCAGCGCCTTAGACCACTCGGCCATCCAGCCAGTGTTCCACCACGTAACTTCTCATTTCTACGCTACCCTGCCTACGTGTAACTCCAGTGCAGGGGCGACAGTAAATATATCCTCCTCGGCAGCATGCGATGGCCTACTAATGACGAGGACGATACCAGACCTAGGACTAAGATCATAAGCAATGCTACAAAAATACTTGGGGTTCTTTAAAACGACTGGAAAGTGAATAATGACTGAAGTGGGATTCGAACCCACGCCCGCGAGGACTGCGGCCTGAACGCAGCGCCTTAGACCACTCGGCCATCCAGCCAGTGTCCCACCACGTAGCTTCTCATTTCTACGCTACCCTGCCTACGTGTAACTCCAGTGCAGGGGAGACAGTTCTAGGTCTGGTATTGTTCTCGTCATTAGTAGGCCATCGCATCTGCCGAGGAGGTTATATTTACTAAGACCATAAGCTATCCTAGGAAAAGATCTGGGGTTCTTTAAAACGACTGGAAAGTGAATAATGACTGAAGTGGGATTCGAACCCACGCCCGCGAGGACTGCGGCCTGAACGCAGCGCCTTAGACCACTCGGCCATCCAGCCAGTGTCCCGCCACGTAGCTTCTCATTTCTACGCTACCCTGCCTACGTGTAACTCCAGTGCAGGGGAGACAGTTCTAGGTCTGGTATCGTTCTCGTCATTAGTGGGGCATCGCATCTGCCGAGGAGGGTATATTTACTAAGACCATAAGCTATCCTACGAAAGGATGTGGGGTTCTTTAAAACGACTGGAAAGTGAATAAAGACTGAAGTGGGATTCTAACCCACGCCCGCGAGGATTGCGGCCTGAACGCAGCGCCTTAGACCACTCGGCCATCCACCCAGTGTCGCGCCATTTTGCTTGTCATTTATATGTCATTCTTTTTCCCATTCATCTACAAAACGCCCATCATAGCTGGCCAGGCGGAGCTCGCGCGAAGAAAGCGGACAGAGCGTGGAGGCTGCTCATTTGGTGGGCTTGCTGTAGTAAGCGGAATTGACATTAAGTGAAAGACGCTCCAACCAGGGGATACAATCCAGCATTCATTGGCATGTATCGCCTTTCTTTTTGTCGCAATTCACACCAATTCTAACCACTTGAAAGTGATCAAAAAAGTGACAAGAAGACCATACTTTGGAGACGCCTTGTCAGTTCTGCGCAGAGAACCTCACAAAGTTAGGAGCCTTGCCAAAGTCGCATTTGGAGAAGAGGTTGGTGGTTCTGCGTCCATTCTTCCGATCCAGGAGCACACTTGTTGCCACTGAGGAATTACTAGGGTTTTACGCTTGCGCAATTCGAGAGCGCCGTACATAGTCAGACGGTTTTCCCTTTATTTCAGAGTGTGAGCCACGTGCAACCGATTTCTTGAGTATGGCGGCAGGTGTGCAATATGCCCACCCTAGCTAGATACGAACGTAGCCCTCAGAAACTCGCTAGCGCAACGGTCTTGCTAACCTGACCGGGGCTACCAAATCCTACTTAAATTTGACATCTTATTTAAACTGCAGGGAGCTCAGTTCCCACAAAACATGAACGGTCTCCACTTGAATAGAGTGTTGAGCGTATGGAGTCGCTGCACAGCACAGCTGTCTACATACTCAGCCCGGGATGTCCCACACTATCAGAAACAAACCCGTGGTACGTGTTATGCCGCTTTGCATTACCTGTTATTATTATATTTACAATACCAGGTTGGTCATGCGTTACAGTCAATATGTCTAAAAAACCACCGGATTCGCTGGTGGACTGAAAAGGATCCTGGGCCATAGCTATGAATAGCAGAGCGCTGCAATAGAGGAAAAACTACTCCGATAAAGAGCTCACAAAGGACAGCGTAGGGCCTCCCGGGTGTCTATGATTGGGTGTCTGACAGCCGCACTGGGTACCTGGGGGTCGCTTGTACCGGTCAAATATTCAGGAGTACCTACTTCCACCAGTATTAGCAGCTTCTACTGCAAGCGCTGATGTTCACACCCCAGTTCAAATTTGGAGAGCCTGCTGGCGTTACGTCTTTACTTGCTCCTTCACGTGTACGGAGCCACTTACGTTTTGGTATGCACCTGGTTTCCGGTGTAAAATTTGCTCTATCAATGAACGACGCCCTTGCCCCTATACATAGATTGATCGGAACCGGCTATGACACATGTTTCCAATATTGCAGTAGTGGCCACTCGCTTGGAGCAGACAGGATCCTTGCCGTCTGCATGGATGTGTGCTGACCCCCAAGGATGAATTTCAGCCTACTTTTCACTACTATGGGAAGAACTTATTAAAGCGGCGCCCACCACATACAGTTGGTTAACTGACCAATGGCTTGGCTACTGAGCATCTGAACATCTAGATGTTGGAAGGTAGTGGCAGCAGCACATGAGAATAACATCGCCACATGGAGCTTGTCCGCTTTCCTCCAGTCATTTTCCTTTTCCTTTCGTCTCCGGTGCTGTTGGACCTCTACCGATATCTTTCCCCTTCCTCGGTCTACATATTCATTCATGAGCTGCGGTTGGCCACTCGAGAGCTTGTGCTGCTTGGGGAAGGGGGGGCTGCAGATGCGGCAAGATATGCCTGTAGCTGGTACCCGGATTTCTACTTGCGCATATGTTGCGTATAGGGGGCTAATTCATCGCCCAAATGTTGCATGCTCTTGTAAACAAACGATACGCAAGCAACAGCTCCCAACAACTCTGTTCACTGTTTGTGTATGCGGCTATGAGGGACCGTTTGTGCTTGTATGGGGGGCTATTTTGAATCCTTGAGTTGTAGCATGTGCTGCGTTGCACAGCGGGATACGTTCCCTCGCGTAGCACCAGGTGCTTGAGCCGCCATGCTGTAGGCTGGATATAAAGTTCACCTGCATTTAATTTTATCTCATTTTAAGTATAATTGCTCTAATGCAGCACACAATCGTCTTGGGAAAAAATCTAGAAACCGTGTTACAAGCTGTTCTGCCAAACCATCACACAAATACCAACCCCACATACAGGCACACCCATACGTATTTCTGACGCACACAGTAACACAACTGAATACTGTAAAACAGTTACTTCGCCGTCAGTTGCCAACCTGTATGCAACTCGAAATGCATGTCACAACTACAGACAGACTGTGAAAAAACAGCTACCGTGTAGACTGGGAACGGGATGAGTCTTCAGTAGCACAGAGACTCGTAAACGGAAATTTCGCATTTATACGTGTGATTTTATTTCCTTAAATTTGCCCCTTCGGCGGGCTTGAACCCACAGAAAGCCGGCGCAGCAGACCGCAGCAGAAGTATCCTCCCCTGTATATTTCCCTTCTAGCAGGTGAACCGCTACCCAGATGTTTCTCCAATCAAAAATATCACTTTACGAACGCCTTCTATAGGACGTTCCATAAAAAGGATACGCTTTTCTGGTAACCCAACAGTCGCGTTCGGCGTAGCCCCAGGGCCCCAGCAGCTGCTCAGGGGGTCCGGGGACGGGCTGGGGTTGGCAGCGGTTGAATGTACAAACAGAGCAGTAAGAAGTCTTGTATTTGTTTTTGCATTTGTTTTCGCATTCGGTTTTACATCTGTTTTTGCAGTTATATTTATCTAGAAGAAGAACAGCCGCCTGCAGCCTGACGCCGCTTACGTGTCCCGCCACAGCGCACCCCAGGGGGGAGCGCCCTTGGGCCGCCTCCCCTCAAGCTGTTGGCTGCCATTCGTTTTGTTTTTGACTCCTTTCTTCTTTTTGGGCCCCGCAGAGAGCCGAAATTACCCCCTGTAGGGCGCCCGCTGCAACCGGTTCCCCCAGCAGCAGCAGCAGTAGGGACAACAGCAGCGGCTACAACAAGGCCTTTTGTCGTAGCACTAGATGCAAAAGGCTACTTATTTTATTGAGCCACTAGAGAACAGTCATTTCGTGCTCCTAGTTCTCCCTTTGAGTCGTAGGAGCCCGGTGCCTCTGCGGCTGCTGTCTCAATAGCAAGAGCCGTAGCAGATGCATCAGTAGCACAAACAGAAGCAGCAGTGCTCCACTTGAGTCAATACCTGCAGTTCTAGCTGCAGGTCAGTCAGAGAAGATATATTTCCCCCAGGTGTGCTTACAGTGCAGTCCGTCACTCCGCTCCCAGCAGCTGCCTGTTGCAAGCCCGACACGCAGGCGGTGAAGGGGGGCGGAGGGCTCTCAGCGTCGGGTTTTTTGAGCTGCTGTGAGATTAGGAGGAGGAACAGGATTGGTTTTATTCCTCGTGGAGGGAGCCGGCACCGCTACTGCTGCTGCTGCTGTTGCCTCAGCTACTGCTGGGGTCAGGGGAGCAGAGCAGCGGATGGGGCGCTGGCAGCGGGTCGTCTTTTTAATGTTCTCCTTCCTTTTGTACAGAAGTACCCCACGCTGTTTTAATTTGACTTTGAGCGTTCCAATAGAAACCACGGCTACAGTACGTGTATTTCCCACCGCCCAGATGCATCCCGAGCAGCAGCAGCAGCAGCAGCAGCAAACGCACAAACCGCTAAAGCAGCAGCAGCAGCAGCGCCTGGGACTCTTGTCAGCAATATGGCAATAAAGACGGTGGCTGTGTCTCCCAGGACGGGGAATGTTCATGCGCCTGTCCCAGGAAATGGGGCAGCGGGCCCCAACCCTGAGCATGCAGAGGCTCGGCTGGCGGCTGCACGTGAAGTAGCGACGACCAGCAGCAGAAGTAGGAACAGCAGCACAAGCAGCAACCACGGTGGCCACTGTGACAAACAGGTTCGCATCATGCAGCACCCAAGAGCCGCAGAAGCTACTACGATAGTAGCTCCAGAAATCCCTGGAGGGTCGGCAGCCGAAGCTGCAGCATCCGCAGCAGCAACCGCAGCTGCCGTCCCTAAGGGAGAAGCAACCTCAGAAGCGACCGCAGAAACACTTGCTGCAGCAGCAGCGTCCACTCCGGCATCAGCCTCAACAGGAGAAGCGTCAGCAGCGGCAACAGATGAAGCAGAAGGGGGAGCAGCAGAAAGTGGCTCTGCTGCTGCGAGCAGAAGGGGAAGTGTGCTTGGCCGATCGAGAATATCTGTGGAGGAGTTGCAGCGACTTTATGGGCCCGACAAACGAACAAATGCACAAGATTGTACATATCCCCTCCGTGTTATCCTCAGCTGCAAAGGCCTCCACGCGGAGTTCCATCCCGAGAGTGGGGTGAGCTCCTCCTACTGCCTTTTGGTCTGCTGCTGCGGCTGCGGCTGCTGCTGCCGTTACTTGTGGTATTGCTGTTGCTGCTGCTGTTGCTGTTTCTTTCCTCGAGTGAACGTATTTTTGCGTGCGGCCCTCTGTACTGCTCTCCATCGGCACCACGTGCACTATCTGATGCAGGGGTTGCAGGGGGAGTGCTGTTGCTGCTGCTGTTGCTGCTGCAGTTGTCGACAGGTTCAACGAGTAAGATATTTCAGCACTATGTCCTTAAGCAGCGTATTGGCTCCGGTTCTTGGGGAGAGGTGTTCGTGGCCATTGAACGGCTTTCTGGCATACAGCGCGCCGTCAAGAGGATACCCAAGAGGTGCGCTGCTGCTGCTGCGGATCTTGCTGCTGTTATTGAGGGTCCTTCTTGCTTTTGTTGCCGTTTGTCTTGCTGCTGCTGGTATTGCTGCTGCCTGGCGAGGTTCTGAAAAACTGTATAGACGAAAACAGAAGCAGCGGGACTACTCTGCCGGGACGTAAAGAGGCAGCATGCATGCTTAAGAATCTGTTGGCGCTCGCTGCTTTATCGTGCTGCTGTTGATGCTGCTGTTGCTACAGCACCCCACACGCAGTGGCAATGGCTCGGGAGGAGGTGGCACTGATGCGGGAGATGGACCATCCAAACATCGTCAAGGTTTTTGAGTGTTATGACGACACTGCCTACTTCTTCGTGGTTAGAAATTGCTGCAGCTGCTGCTTGCTTTCCGTCTCGTTGCTATTGGCTGTTCGCGTGTTTAGAACGTTTATCCTCTCTTTTTCGTAGGCTATTCATATCCTCTCTTTGTTTGTCGTCTACGTTATCCGCTTCCTTGTCGCCGATTCTCCAGCTCCATGCCTCTATTTTTTGTCTCTCTTCTCTCCTCCTTGCTGCATTCTTTTATCGCATTTGTATGCTTCTTGCTGGTGGCTGTGTTCCTCACATATGCGGATGCAGCAGCTGCTGCCTGTGTTGCAGCAGCAGCTGCTGACACGTGGCGGGTTGCTGGCGCACGCTATTCGCATTGTTTGCAACTACCGCCAATGCTGCTATAGCCTGTGCCGCTGCTCTTGTTGCTGCACCTTGTTCCTGCTGTTTCTTCTGTTGCTGTTGCTGCTTTAGGTCATGGAGTTGTGCCGTGGAGGGGAGTTGTTCGACGAGTTAGCTAAGACCGCCACAAGCGGGGGGCACTTGCCGGACGGCCGCCCGCGCCCGCGATTCTCAAGACAAGAAGCTGCGCTGATAATGTACCAAGTGCTTTCTGCTGCTCACTGTTGCCACCAGCACGGCATATGCCACAGGTTTGCTGCAGCACGAATACGAACCTGCTGCTGGTTTTGCTATCGCTGCTGCTTCTGGGTTCGCGCTGTGATCGGTTCGAGTGCATTAGATGCAGTTGGCGTGTGCAGCAAGAGCTTGGCCAGTTGTTTTTGGTGGGCTCGCTTTTTCCTTTTGGCATGTTTAATCCCCCGAGGTTGCCGCTGATGCTGCCCCTGTAGGGATATAAAGCCTGAGAACTTTCTATTGGCTGAGCCTGGGAGCCTGACATTGAAGCTGGCGGACTTTGGTTTGGCCCGCCGATTCTCTCGACGTCGAAGCGTGCCCAGGAGAGAGTCCCTTATGGACCTTGTGGAAGCAGCAGTTGCTGCTGCGACTCCTGCAGCTGCTCCTACTACTCCATCTGCGTCGGCTGTACTCCTTGCTGCTCCTCTTACTGCTTCCGGCGATGCAGCAGAAGGAGAACAAACATGCAAAAGCCAAGCAACTGAGGGGGCCGTGGCGCAGCAGCAGCAGCAGCAGGAAGAAGAAACGATGCTCCTGCAGTCTGTCGCCGGAACGGTTTGCTTTGCCGCGCCGGAGGTGCTACGGCTGTCAGCAGATCTCGTGCAGAAGACTGAGGAGATGCGGCGCCAGCAGCAAGGAGGAGGCACAGCTGCAGTGCAGCAGGATAGTGAAGTGGGGGAGCAGGCTGAGGGCTCGCAGCAGCAGCTGCAACAGCAACAGCAGCAACAGTTGCACCCTTGGGGGTACGATGGAGAACGCGCTGATGCATGGAGCTGCGGCGTCATGCTCTACTTGCTGTTGTGTGGGGAGTTGCCTTTTGATGGCCCCGATGATGCAGCTGTCGCCTACAATGTAAGTCAGGCTGCTGCTGCTGTTGCCGCTGCCCCTGTTGCTGCAGTTTCGCAAGCGTTTGTGCAGTTTGGAGATGGAGGTTGCTAGCTGGTAGGGTGGTCTTCGCAACACGTGCTGCAGCAGCACCAGCAGCAACGACGGCTGCTGCTCTCGCTGCTAGTGCTTGCGCTATTCAGTTGAAAATGCTGTCTCGACTGCTGCCATCGCTCCTTGTTGTTAGTGCTGCAGTTGCTGCTCTGGTTACTGCTGCAGGTATTGCATGGGAAGTTGAAGTTCACGCATCCTGTGTGGAAGGAGGTATCTGAAGAAACGCTGGAATTGGTGATTGCACTGTTGGAGCGGGATCCGAACTGGCGGTTGCTTGTGGGGGAGGCACTGGGGAGCAGTTTCTTCAGTAGTTTGCTTCCGCTGCACCTGCCGATCCCAGCAGCAGCAGCAGCAGCGGCGGCAGCTGCAGCGGCGGGGGAGGGCGG